AATACCAGTCATTATACTAAAGATGACTGGCTAATTGTTCTCATTAAAAGACACTTTCATTTGAGGTTAAAGAGAATGTAGGAGCGATGCTTACGTTTTTCATTCATTTAAAAATATAAAAACCATTCTTAGCTCACGGCCCATATGAAAACAGCTGGATTTGGCTGTGGGCCATTGTATTGCTTATAATAGCAAAAAATTAGAACATTTGAATATTCATCAGTGATAGAAAAGGGTGTGTAAATTGTGGCATATCTATTCAATAAAATATTACTCAGCAGTAAAGATGGAGGAGCCACAGTTCCATGTAGCGGTATGTATGATTCTTACAAACATGAAATTGTGGATTGGGGAAAAAGCAAATCACAGAAGAAGCCATTCAGTGTAATTCCATTTATTTAAATTTCAAAGCCAGGAAAAATTAAAGCCAGCATATTGTTTAGAGATACACAAATAAATGGTTTTAAAAAGCAGTGTTAAGACAAGGAGGGAATGATTAACACGATGTTTAGGATAATGGTGACCGAGGGAAGAGTTAGGATATCGGAAAGGGGAACATAGTGGGCTTTTGGGGTATTGGTAATGTTCTGTGTCTTTGTTAGTATATGGATGTTTATTTTAGTTTTGTTCTTTAAACACAGTGTTTTGTAGATAAATGTTTTCATAAAGTCTTGTGTTTGTATGCTGTATTTTGTAATAAAAGTTAAACTAGAACCAAATGAAGTACGATTATTTTTAGTATTTTGAGTAACTTCTATACTGTTTTCCATAGTGACTGTACCAGTTTACATTCCCACCAACAGTGCACAAGAGTTCTCGTCTCTGTATCTTTGCCAACATTTATCTCTTGTCTTTTTGATGATAGCCATTCTAACAAGTGTGAGGTGATATCTCATTGTGGTTTTGATTTGCATTCGCCTGATGATTAGTGATGTTGAAAACCTTTTCCTGTACCTGTTGGCCTTTGTATATTTTCTTTGGAAAAATGTCTATTCAGTTTTTCTGCCCATTTTTAAATCAGGTTTGTTTTTTTGCTATTGAGTTGCATGAGTTCTTTATATATTTTGGGTATTAACCACTTATTAGATATATGATTTGCAAATATTTTCTCCCATTTGGTAAGTTGCCTTTTCATTTTGTTGAGGTTTCCTTTGCTGTGCAAAGACTCTTTAGTTTGATGTAGTCCTACTTGTTTATTTTTACTTTTGTTGTCTTTGCTTTTGGTGTCAAATCTAAAAAGTCATCACCAAGACCAACGTCAAGGAGCTTACCCTCTATGTTTTCTTCTAGGAGTTTTATGGTTTCAGGTCTGTCATTCAAGTCTTTAATGCATTTTGAGTTGATTTTTATGTAAGATAGTGGTCCAGTTTCATTCTTTTGCGTGTGGTTGTCCAGTTTTCCCAGCATCATTTATTGAAGAGACTATCCTTTCCCCATTGTATATTCTTGGCTCCTTTGTTAAAAATTACTTGACCAAATATACATACGTTTATTTCTGGGCTCTCTATTCTGTTCCATTGATGTATGTGTCTATTTTTATGGAAGTATCATACTGTTTTGTTTACTATAGCTTTGTAGTATAGTTAGAAATCAGGAAGTGTGATACCTCCAGCTTTGTTTTTCTTTCTCAAGATTGCTTTGGCTATTCAGAGTTTTT